CCTCTGCCTCCCACCCCCAGATAGAGAGTTAAGGAGTTCTGTCCCCCCACCTCATCCCACAGCTCCTTCACTCTGTCAACCCTCCCTTTTCATGAAGCTCCTTTTCAGGTTTTGAAGGGAGCCTCCGTTATGGTTTAAATAAAACAGCGCCATTCCCCAAGTGACTGCAGCAGGCCATGAGGAGCAGCAAGTCCCAAGTAGGGAGCTGAGAGGCAGGTGACAGGCCTCATCCGGTCAGCAGTCCCACGAGGAGCTGCAGCCACGGCAGGTGAGAGACAGAGACCTATTAGGCATGCTATGCAGAGAAAGTGGATATTTATTTAGTGGGTTATGGAGGGGAAAGGGAAAGGGGGAAGGGGAGAAGGGAAAAGAGCAGAGAGAGAGGCAGAGAGGGGGGCAGAGGGAAAGGAGGGAGAGAAGGGGAAAAGGGGTGAAGGGGGAAGAAGGGAGAGAGGCAGAAGCTGCCTCTTTGGGAGAGAGAAGAAAGGGAAAGTGCTCAGGCCAGAAAGATCTGCTTGTATCAGCGGACAGGAGAGAAAGTGGACGGAGCTTTTATCTTAAAGGACAGGACATGTCCATCTCTTTTTCATAATAAAAGGTGGGAGGTTAGGCACAACAGGTTAAAGGAATTGGGACAGTGGATTCTCAAGACCATTTTCTGTTTATCTGTGGGCGTTGTTCTGGGTGGGGGGAGACCTGAGAAAGCTGGGTGACGGTCACATCCTGGCTTAGCTGGTCTCTTTGCTTCTGTCCGGTATTTGTGGTATGAAAATGTCTGGTGTCTCTTACACCTGTATAAGGTATTGACAGAACAGAGGACAAAGTTAAGTTTAGAAAAAAAAATTTCGGACCAGGGAATTGAGAGAGGTATATCTGACCAGTTTAAGGTGCATCCTTTAATTTGGCTCCCTGGAACTCACAAGAATTTTTTGGGTTTGTGAAAACATAAGTTTTGAACAGCAGCATATTTATATCAGAATGGTTGTGACAGACATTTTTGCATAATGAAAAGTATCTTTAAGACTATGAAAGGCAGCATGAGAGAGAATTTTGTTAACTCGTGCTTTTTGAAATTTGTTTAGTGAGGCTGTCCTTTTAAATGACAAAACCTGTCAGCTGTCAAAGTGCATCAGAGATCTTTGAGAAGGATACATTTTTATTTGAGTTATTGATTAAAAAATGACAGAGAACTTACTTGATTGGCACCCAGAGCCCCTCCTCGGGGTCCTCCATTGTCACTGAGGTCGTATTTTTCTTTTGCTGTTTAATGCAGGGCCTGCCAGGCTCCAGAAGATCCTGTAGGCTAAGAAATCTGTAGGAAGACAAGCCTACTTTGACCTGAGAAGCTAGGTTGTCAATTCCAGAGATTCTGTCTACTCTCTGGAGATCTTTAGTTTAGATGAAAGGCAGTTTTTCCCAGTGGTCAGCGCTTGGCAGTTGAAATGAATTGCAGATGGGCATTGTTCTGTGCCCATTTGTCTTCTGTCTTCTTTGGAGGAAATAGAATGCTGCTGCTAGGAGCCAACCTGTCTCTTTTTGTTATGAAAAGTTTTTTTAAATAATTAAATGTTTGAATGCCATATTTCCCAGATCTCTGAGCAGTTGAGGGCTGTTTATCAGGTATAACTACAGTATAGAATCTGCCTGGAGAGCTGGGTCTGAGCTTGACTGTGCTGGCTCTCAACTTAACAGGGTAAGATTTGCACTCATAAAAAAACAGAAAGAGAAAACTGCTTGCAAGAGAAGGTTAATGGCAGAACTGACAATAGTAGAGAACAGCTTAATATATTTTAAAGCAGTGTTGGATTAAGAGACTTAAAGTATGTATCAATTTAAAACATGAGGCTTATTGCTTTGTAGTCTGGAATGAGATACAATGAACAGACAATTTTAACAGTTAACAGTTAAACACGGGTGCATTTAAGTTACATGTATGTACATACACATAGTAAGCAGGAATTGGGCCAAGTGGATACTCTTGGTGGGCCCTACCAAAGGCATGCCACTGCACAAAAAACACACTTAACAGAGTTAGCAAGGGGAATTTAGAGACAAAAACATAAGTAAACTGGGGGACTAGGCAGGGTATACCTCAGTAAAGATGGCAGGACTTGGTGACCTGGCTCTCTGTTAAGATGGCGGTGAAGTCACCTGATCTCTGTTAAGATGGCGGTAGGGTCACCTGGTCACAGTCAAAATGGAAGTGGTCACATGTTGTATGGAAAAGTCACAAATTTTTAAGCCGTGGGAGTTTTAAACATATAACAAGAGAGACCTAGAGGCATAATCCACCCTATCACTGAGCCGCTGCACGACAAGCCAACAAGCCATGATGGGGAACAAAGGCAGGAATTGAAAACAGCTGCCCGTGGAGCTGACCAATCTTGTCAGCAATGGTACTGGTTGCAGGGACAGTTTGAGAGAAAGCAGAGCCAGCAGGACAACGGTGAAGCATTCAAAGGTGGGTGACTGATAGTTTGAGGGTTTATACCAAAACTGAAAACGGGAAAACCCACAAAACACCACATGGGGGGGATGTCTCCTCTCTATAGGCGGGGTGTGAAACAGCGACGATATCACAAAGCCTATAGGAAGACGTCTCTTCTCTACAGGTGGGGTGTTGAAGCCTGACTGGATCCAGTCTGGGTGACTTGGAAGCCAGAGAGGCTAGAGGTTGCTCCAGGTGGTCTTTCACAGCAGGAACCACTGATGAGTGGTCCAAAAGAAAAGAAAAAGAAAAAGAAAGGAGAAAGGAAAATCTGAGGGACCCTGGGCCCCAAATCAAATGCACTGCACAGTGTGTGCAGTGTTAGTGCAGGAGGATCAACCCTGGGTAATCTGGTCACGTTTTTAGCTATGGGAAGCAACCAGAGATGAATGTCAGTGAAGGGCTCAATCGTAGCTGTGAAGGCTGTGGCTGGGGGCATAGAGGTCGGCGTTACAGCGGATATAATGCAGAGCTGTTGTAAAGAAACCTGGTTCGGGGTTCCATGTTTCCTCAGTAGGGAACATGGAGAGCCTGACCGAGTCACGAGCATCAAATGTTATGATAAAAATAAAATGGTGCTGTTTCTCAAGTGGCGGGCAGTGAGAAGCAGCAAGTCCCACACAGCTGGTGAGACGGTGGGGCAGCCAATCCCACAAGAACTGCAGCCGTGGTGGGTAAGTAACAGATGGATAGACATGCCATGCTGAGAAAGTGGGCATTTATTTAGTGGGTTATGGAGGGAAAAGGGGATGGAGGGAAGGGAAAAAGGGAGAAGATGTGTGTGTGTGTGTGTGTGAGAGAGAGAGAGAGAGAGAGAGAGAGAGAGAAACAGAGTGGGGGGGAGAGGAAAAGCAGGAAGAAGGGAGAAAGGCAGAAGCTGCCTCTTTAGGAGAGAGATGGAAAGGAAGGAGCTCATGCCAGAAGTAGAAGGAGATCTGCTTACCTGAGTGGACGGGGGAGGGGGGCGGAGAGGGGGAAGGAATAATGGGCGGAAGGGAATGGGTAGAGCTTGTCTCTTAAAGGAACAGGACAGACCATTATAGCCTCACTTTTTCTTCATAGCCCTGTTACATTGTCTTAATACAATGTGCTGCTCCTTTTGAATGGTCTTCCTTCTCTATGTCGCATCATGCTCCTGATGATCTTCTCCTAATATGGTTAGTTCAAATGTGTCAGCTGCTTTTCCAAGCCAACTGCTAACACCCTATTCTTTTATCCTACATGAACCCACTCAATACATATTTAGTGTCTGGTCCTCTACAAAGAGTCTTCATTGGGTGCACAGAATGGTGGATGCTGTCCTGAATTAAGTGGTGAACAGGAAGGAACCCTTGCTTAAGCCATGCTAAAAGAACCTACGGCTATGATCAGGGGAGCAAACGGGTGGCTCGGGGACTTCTCTGTTGTTGGCCCAGTGATTTCAGCATTTCAGAGCAAGGGTAGGGGATGGAGGAATATTTCTACTGGCTTCCTGACCCCTGAGCCATGATGCTTCTTTACTCCAGTATAGGAGACACTCTTGCAGAATTCATTAGCACCATGATTATTTTATATCAAAAATTTAAAGATTTCAGGCATCCTGAGCTGGTTCTATGATCCATAAAGTGGAGCTACCTACTGTAAACTCAGATCTCAATTAATCCCAAGTGGCCTGGAGCCCAAGCCTATGGAAATCCTGATGGTGACCAGATCTTTAGGAAATGATATTATCAACAGCTATGGGGAATCTCACATCAAACAAAGACAGTCACTCTCCCTCTCCCTGTCTTCTTACTCCCACACATCCAAGCCTCCCAAATCTCTTCAACATCTAGAATTTACTTTGACTTATAATTTCAGAGGGTTCACACAATTATGCTCGGAACTGCACGGCAACTAGACTGGGCGACTTTGAGGTTGTAGGAGCTTGCAGTAGTGGGAGCTTATAGTGGAGGGAGTTCGCAAGGTGGGAGCATGCATGGAGGGAGCTTGCAGTGGTGGGAGCTTGCATAGGGGGAGCTTGCAGTGGTGGCTTCTCACATAGCACTGATCAGGAAGAAGAGTCCTTGGGTCAGAAGTGGGCATGGTTGTAATCCCCAAGGCCCATGACTAATCATCACCATCTATCAGTAGATCTCCATGTTCAAAAGGTTTCCTAACCTCTACAAACAAGGTCATCATGTGGGAACCAAGTATTCAAACATGGGAGCCCATGGGAGACACTTCATACTCAAGTTGTAACACTCTACTTTCCGGCCTTCATAGTCTCATGGCTTCCTCATAAAGGAAATACACTCAGTTCCAAATTCTTAACAGTCCCAACATTGTTCAAGAGACCAAAGTTTTAATGTGATCTCTTCACTGTGGGCCCCCATGAAAACCTTTTATGTTACATACTTTTAAGTTACATACTTTTAAGTTACATACTTCCAATACATAGTGACATCAACACTCCACTCCCAAAGGAAGAGAAAAATAGAAAGGAAACACTGCGCCAAAGCAAGATTGAAACTCGGCAAGATGAACACCAAACCTTCTAGCTCCTCATCCAGCATCTGGGAAACATAGCAGCAGCATCTGTCTCTACAACATTTGTGTAACCCTGCCTTTATAGGTCAGCCTTCTGTGTCACATGGGGCCTTTCTCGAGGGCCAGTTCCACTCGAGGTCTGCAGCTTTCCTCAGTACACATTCCTGGCATCTGTGACATTCCAGGGTCTCTATGGAAACTTAGGGCTCACAATCACCACTTTACATATCGGTCCCTCGGGGCCTATTTTTAGTGACTCCAGCTCTGCCCCTCACTGGTTGGCCTTCTCGCCTGTCCCCGGAACCTTGGTGTTAGCCTCTGTGATCCTGTGACTCATGCACTAGGCTTCACCTTGTATCAGTTTATTATTACAGTTTATTATTACCAATGGGGCGGTTACAGGGGTTTAAGTCATTATTTGGTCATTCACCTATCTATCCACCTTTTTTTTTTTAAAATTCATTGTAAATATTTTGATAAAGCAGCTTATCTAACATGTATATTTCAAGACAGGGTTTCGCTGTGTAGCCCTGGCTATCCTGGAATTCACTTTTTAAATCAGGCTGTCCCAAACTCACAAAGATCCCCCTGCCTCTGTCTCCTGAGTGCTAGGATTAAAGGCATGCACCACCACTGCCCAGCAACTTGTTTATATTTTAACCTCAACTCCAGACCCCTACTTTGGCATACTTTACAGCTTAAGAACAGAGTGATTTAGAGCGCATTTAGTCTACTGAGAACAGCTGATCTCCTTTGCCAGGGTCTACCAGTCACGCTTTCCCCCAGGTACCAAAGGAAGCTGCGTCTTAGACAAATGAGAGAATCTGAAGAGAGGCTATTTGTTCTGCTAAAGGCAATAATGCGGCACAACTTTAAAACTCTGGTGATTTCATCACACCCCTGGACCTGAAACTGGAAAAGGAAGCCTCAGCCACAGTGCTGCCCCACTGCTCCCCAACAGAGATGAAAGCCGCCCACCGCCCTGCTCCAAACACACACCCTTTCACAGCCACGCAGCCGCGCTGCTAGACAAATAGTTTTATCTGCGGCTCCACAGCTGTGAGGGCACGGCCCTCTCCTCATTGCTTTTCTCTCCGAGTGGCACCTGCAAACATTACTTGCTCCACGTTCAGTTTATTGGATGTTTGCTGAGCAATTACCATGCAACCAATTTCTTGCTAGCCAGCCTAGCAAATGCCAGCCCTGGCGACACATTGCAATCATCTGGGAAGCTTTAACGGCTGGAATGCGCCCGCGTTCTGTGCCCAAGACAATGTCATTTACTGGACTTGAGTGGATCCGGGCAACAATATTGTTAAGAGCTGTCCTCGTGTTGGTACTGGACAGCCGAGGTTGCAATCACTCGCCTAGAGGATGGGGGAGGGAGCAAGCACGCAGCACAGTTCATCCTTCCCACAGTCCCGGGTCCTTGGCTCATTTGTAGCCAGGAGCAACACTTCACTGTGGAGCAGGCAGTAATCAACTGAAGGTTCGCTGGGATGAAGGCTTAGGTAAGAGAGATGCACTCTCTTCTGGCTAAATGAATGACCCCGGCTCCTTTTCGGCTTCTCTGATTTGTTTCTGTAGCTCTTTTTCACAGACACAATTTCCTCACACAGCTGAAGCGGTCCATTAAAAACTCATAGCCAGTGTCTCCATCCTAAAGTCGCCCTGTGCCTAGTTCAGCGATTGGCATGAAGACAACACCACATAAATCTTGATTCAGCCAAAGTAACCCAGCAAAACCGATCACAGGCAGACCATAAATTCTGCCCGGGGAGACATGCCTAGCGAGGTGCTTGTGACTAAACTGTTTGTGAAACAGTACTGCGAAGACTATTCTTAATCACATGGGACAGACAAAAATATCTCGATTATTTTTTGCCTCCTACCCTAACTGAGCAGGAGGCAATGATGTTTCCCACTAGCTCAGCCTGAGTCAGCCCTGGCTTGTGTAGGAGATATGCTAGGAGTGGCTACAAGCAGCTCTTCAGAGTCAGTGTGCAAGCTTGTTGTGGGTGTAGTCCTGAGGCCTTTGGGCAGGAAATAGGACAGGTGAATCATACCTGTCCCCCTCCAACACACACATACTCGTAATCCAACCGGCCCCATTACAGACTCTGACATCCACCTAAGGACTGATGTCTGCCTTGGTGGCCCATCTTGGGCCTAAGTCTTTTGTTGGCTAGAGTCTTGTCTCAAAGCCAAGCCTCCTTGCCTTCAGCCTCTGTCACGGGATTCCCTCTTGCAGAGGGATAATTAGCAGTCCAGGAAATAAACATTCTCAAATCAGTCTTCCTATAGTCCCCACTTTGTCTGCCCAATAGGAGAACATACACAGTTGCATAGAAACAGTTATTTGTATATAAAGTACATCCCCCAAAGGCTTATATGTTAGCAGCTTGGTCCCTATCTGGTAAACCCAACCACTGAGACCTGGTTTGTTCCTGAGGACTCTGACCTGAACAATAGATCAATCCCTTGGTGGGTTCATAGCATGAGGTAACGTCATAGTATTCTTGGGAGGTTGCGCCTGGCTAAGGAGGTGCATAACCAGACACTGGGACGTGTCTAGGAAAAGCAAACCTTGTCTTCTCTCTTTCTCTCCCTCCCTCTATCCCTCCTTCCTTGCCCCTCCCTCTTCTCTCCAGCACACAGCTCTACCACGTTATGACGGTCTGGTTGAGCATGGCACTAGAAATGGATGAGCCAGCCAAACATGGATGCCTCTGAAACTGTGAACCAAAATCAAGTCCTTTCTTTGAAATTGTTTCTGTCAGGTTCAGTCACAAATCAGGGCAATTCTCCTTGACAAATACTCCTGCCTTGACAGATTTGCTCAGCCCCCAGCAACACACGCACACATACACACATACACATACATAAATGTGTACACACACAGGCTACATTTTCTTATTTTCCGTATTTTTCATGGTCTCAATCTGTACCCACTATAAATGATTTAAAAATATTAACCCAACATTTAATTATACAAATCTAGATATATATTATTAATTTTTAAAATTAAACTTTAAATTTGAAATATTTTTCATGTTTCTGAAGTTTCATTTTTCAGAGATATTAAAATTATATATTAAAATTAAGTCAGTATACATATAACCTAGCAATATAAAATATTAAAGTGTTGAGATGATTCTGGAATTATAACAATTTGCCTTTATATAAATTCATTGTCTTAACAAATATACAAATATTTTTAACCCTAACTTACTCATAATTCTAGGACTCAGCACCTATCTCACTGATGAGGTAAAGGGTGTACGACATTATTTTTATGTTATGACTACATTTGCATGCGTACAAACACAATGGGAATTATTAAAATATTCCCAAGCATATTAAGCAAATATTCTTCGGCTGCTATGTTGAACTATTACAAAGACTGTAGTAATTTTATAGGCAGCTTAGGGAAAACAAATTGAAAGAAGAGAAGCAAGAAAGTAAACACTTGGGGGCAAGAGAAATGGGCTAAGAATTAAGATCACTTGCCACTCTTGCAGAGGACCTGTGTTCAGTTCCCAGCACACACATGGTGACTTACAACCATCTGTAATTACAGTTCCAGGGGACTCAATGCCTTCTTCTTACCATACATACATATACACACAGACACATAATACATGAATGCATGCAAAACATGCAAGCACATAAAAAGCTAAATTAAAAAAGAAATAATTTTTGACACTATTAATAAATGATTAATGATCAATAAATGTTTATAATATTTCAGGTCCTTGGCAGGAAGAATTGGCAAGCTAATTAATTTGCCTTGCATTTTCTCACTACTTCCAGTGTTCAAATGCCCCCAACACATCAAAGTAGTATCTGTCTGCAATCATCACCCAAAATCTCCCAGCATATAGACAAGACGTTTGCAGCCTTCTGACTCAGGAACGCAAGACAAGAGACAGAAAGAAGCACTGGCTGGAGCTCAGATGGTGGAAGTCACAAGCCTGTGTTTTGGTTTTGGGTCCTGCTGAGTCAGTGCTGAGCATCAGCTCTCAGCCAAGAGGCACCACTGCCCATGTGCTCCCAATAAATTCATGTGTTTGCACGCTCTGATGCTCTACAGTGAGGGACCCAGACGGGGCCTCGTTTGCCCACACGTCTCAGCAGAGATCCGTGGCTGTGGCTCGTAGCTAAAATAAGCTCTCAACCACAACTGGGGAAGGATTGCACAATTGTCAAACATCTAATGGTGGAAATTCTGCTGCCTGCTGCGATAAGTAATTGGGCAGTTATAACAATAAACATATATTCTCACCATGACTTGAAATTCGACAAAATATTCTGAATACCTGGTTAATTTTCACTTCATTTTATTCTTTGGTCAGCACGCAATGACATGTTACACTGTCACATTTTCATGCACAAATTACTAGGTTGTATTCTTGTTACTGCCTCTCCCATTCACCTCTCTTGTCTTCCTGGTCCCCTTCTGCCCCCCTCCTGTAGTCCCACCTTCAGATTTCCTTTTCCATCCTCCACTCTGGTTCCCCTGCCCCTCCCCCTTTACTCTTCTTCCTTTTCCATAGTTCCTTTTCTATCTTTAGCCTACACACACACACACTCACATGCACGCACGTGGGATGCCTGCTTAGGATCCAGGCGTGGTGTAGCTGGGTCATAGGTCATCTCTGTCCCTAGCCTTTGGAGGACCTCCAGACTGATGTCTAGAGAGGATAGACTAGTTGGTACCCTGATGACAGTGTGTACATCTCTTTCCTCACCTTTGGGCCAGTATTTGTTTTCTTAATGACGATCATTGTGACTGGGGTAAGATGAAATCTTAAAGAAGTTTTAAGAGTCTTGGAATATCTCTTTTTGTCTTTTATTTTCCAGGTTTTTAAAGTATGAGCGTTTAACATATTCCTCCCTAGTGACCCTCTGAATTTTTTTGGAAACCTAATGTGACATCTCCCTCTTCATATCAAATTTTACAAATTGGACTTTGTCTCTTTTGTTCATATTGGTCAGGGGCTTGCTGTCGTTGTTTACTTTTTCAAGGAAAGCAGGCTCAGATTATCTATGTATGTTCTTCTAGATTCCATTTCACTGATTTCTATGGCTCTATGGTGGCCCAGTCTGACCTTTGTTATTTCTTTCTGTCACTGCTTTGGGGTTTGTCTTCTGTTCTTTT